TGTTCTGTAATACTGCCGAATGTGAAAGGGACATTCATATTATTTGATCATGGTAGATCAAAAGAGTTAAGAGTCAAGAATATATCAAATTTAATGTTTATAAATATAAATGGGCCTTCGATATCTGAATGGACTCCAGATCTATACATAAAAATATAGATCAACTCAGGCGAAAGAAATCTTTCCAGAGAAAAATACAGCCCAAAGAAAAAGAAGAATTGAAAGATGTATAGAAGTTATTTAAATTCATATTTATATATTTATAGATATCGGTGCAATTTGTGACCTTGTTTTTAAAATATAATCTATATTATAATTTTCCGATGTCCTCACTACGTCATCGTGACGTCATGTCATCGGTACGTATTTATTTTTATTTTTTTTATTTGTTGATTTTATTTATTTTATACAAACAGATGATGATGCTTATAGTGTAATATAGTTGAAAAATTAATTCCTTTTCATTAAAGTAATCGATAAAATAATTATTGAAAATCGTCTGCGGGAAAATGGCTGATGTTAAATCGTTTTAATCAATTTTCCTTAATATCCAAAATATAAATGAAATAAACAACATGAATAAAACATAATTCAAAAATTAATATTTCTTCTTCCTCAAGATTCAGGCTAATTTTTATTTCATTTTATCTTTGTATTTTATAGATTCTCTCATCAATCCTCACCCATCACTACCACTCACACATTAATGAAACTTGTACTCTACAAAATATTCAACTCATTTAATAATCTTTATTATAATCAAAATCTTCTCAATACATATATCACAAATCTTTATACATATATATATTATCTTTCATAAACCAAATTAAGAAGAGATTCAAGTATATTCAAATATTTATATATTCTTATCCTAAACTATTTCTAATCTCCAATTCCTATATATAACTTTTTCTTTATTTCCCCTTTATCAAAGATCTCATCTATTTATCAATAAACTTTTTCATTATTATTATTTTTTACCTATTAATAAAAATTCTTTCATAACATTATAAATTTATTTAATTTAACTTTCTTATCTTTTTTTATAATTATGTAATCTATTTTTTTACATAATTTTTTTTAATCTAATACTTCTTTACCCTAGAATTAATTAACTTTATTTTTTCAATAACACTACACTCAACATGTTATTTTTTAACTTTAAATTAAATCGTTTGTTTTTTTCCTCTTCATTTCTAAATAAAATCGTCTGCTTTCATTTTTAATTATCTAACTAAAACCAAATTTTAATATTTAATACTTATCTTTTTCTTAAAATTATGTCTTTAAATAAAAAATTAATTATTTACTCTTATAATATACCTGGTTTATTATTACTATATTAAGAAAATTAATGGAGAAAAAATATATCTATATATTAATGACACAAGAAACTTTAATCAATAATAACATTGTTAAAAAATTAAGAGGTTATACAATCTTCAATTCTAATAACTATCATAATGGTGTATCATTTATTATTAAAGATTCTATTCTAAAATATATATCCAATTTCACTCCAATCAGTGATCGCATTGCTTCAATTACACGAAAAACTAAAGGAAAAATAACCCATCTTATTAATATTTATGCTCCCGTTAATCACTCAGAATATCCCAAATTCATTACATCTCTTAATAACCACCTTAAACAAATTAATACAAATCATTTTATTATCATAGGTGGCAACTTTAACATGAAAATTGGTAACGAATATATAAATAAACTGCCCTTGATCAGAAAAAATCAAAAGTAAAAATATTATTGAAACTTGTAAAAAATTTAATCTTAGAATAATTAACACTTTTTTTAAACAAAAAAATAATTATTATTTTACCTATTTTAAACCTAACTCTTTATATAAAAGTCAACTTGATTTTTTCCTTACAAGTATTAAAATGAACTTTTTTATACAAAATATTTTAATTCTTAATGATATCGATTTCTTATCGGATCATCGCCCTATTGGCCTACATCTCCGAGGCGGGAAAAAATTTTCAAATTATAATGGGTAGGACTGGGCTTGGAACCTCAAAATTTATATTAGCTTGCACCTGACTTGGGAATATCTTTTAGAAATTATTAAGGGTTAGCTGGGCTTGATAAACTTTTTTAAAATTATAAGATCTTGGATACTTCCTAATATTGTAAGCTTTAACCTGGCATGATATCTATCGTAAAAAATGAATAAAAATCTCATTCCCCGTCATTTTTGACGGGCTTTCTACTAGTATAAATAAAGAATTCATTCGTATTCGTAATATAAAAAAAATCAGTTTTAATACATCATAATTTTAATTATAGAAAATAAATATTGTAGCAACCCCCCCCCCTCGCCCTCAAGCTAAATTTTTATTTATCCAATACACTACTGCTGAACAACCTGCTATATGGCTCCTATAATGGATTAGTTTAATAATAGTCCTGACTTGAGGAATATATTTTAATTTCCTTATCCGATAATTTCCTTATCCGATAATTTCCTTATCCGATAATTTCCTTAAAACTAGTATAATTTCTCGTAATTGATTATTTTAACATAAGTTTTTATGTTTATTACTATGATAAAATTGAGAACTATTTTGGTGTTTCAGTTTAATACTTAAAGCTTTGGATATTAATCCTATTATATTTCTTAATTCATAATTATATCTATTCCACTTAAAAATAAAAGATAAATATGTTAAAGTACAATAAATGAATAAAAGTCAAAATAGAAGATTTTGTACTTCCACTGGTAATGCTTCCGATAAATAAATTTATAATTTCTAAAATAACAATCAATTTATAACCCATTATATATCTCATGTCGATCTCACATTATAAGAACATGGATAATAATGCTTTACTCAACAAGAGCGGAACATTCATAAAGGTCTTGAACTCTCCTTATCAAGCACAATTTTATATCCAAATTTTATATCCATGCTAAAGGGGCTTAGCATCTTCATGAGAGAAAAGAAATTGAGATAAAAATGTAGATTTTCCACTCAGTTTTATCATCTATTATCTCAGTTTATACCTATTGATCTTTAGGCACTACTAGCACCTTCCTCCTTACTTTAGCTCTGAGTCTGGAAATATTTTAATTTATTTAAATAAAAAGCATTTTAATTTTTAAATAAAGTTAAATTTAATTAAACCATAACTAGACCCGATTAAAATTTTTTTATCCCGAAGCTGACTTGGTTGCAGGCAGCGTCTACGTGAGCGGGAGGGGTAGGGACAGTTAGAATCCTATTTTTTGAGGGGGCTAGGCTGCTTTAATGGGGGTGGGACAAATTTTTTTGGGGGTTATCTATTAAATTTTGAGATGAAATAGGACAAAATTTATTGCTGTAAAAATTAATACTTTTATTATAGAATTATTATAATACAATTCATCGACCGAATCTATATATTGCAAACAATCATACCATTATTTTCCAAATAAAACTTTCTGCTATTCTTTAATTTAAAAGGTTTAGATATTTCAACAAGCTCATTAAGCCATAAGAATTAATTCATTGTAAATAATGGAGGTTTTAATTGAATTTATTATCTAAAAAAAAATTCTTTATTATCTAAAAAATAAATTCTTTATTGTCTAAAAAATAAATTCTTTATTATCTAAAAAATAAATTCTTTATATTCACAAAATATCGATAGTTGGTAGTAGAGATAGATTAATTTGAGTTATAAATTCTCTGAAAATAGTATCAATAAATAAAAAATGCGAAAATAATAATAGGGAGACACCGGTAATTTTTTAGGGGGTGAGCAAATGTTTTTGAAAGGGTTTGCATCCAGTGTAAATCCTGTCATGTAGACGATGGTTACAGGGCTATGCTATTTAAAAATTATAAACAACTCCGGGTCTGGACTCCATGTTTGAACCTCGGCTTGGTTTCGTAAATATTACAACCAAGCAAATTAACAACACTTGTGCCAATCATTTTTAAAATTTGGACGCAACACGGCTCGAATTTTCTATAAGAGCTTGGAGGGGAAAAGTTACTTCAAAATATTTTTTTTTATCTGCCTGATTGATTAAATTTGAGGAGGCATCTTATAATACCTTAAATATTTCGTTTTTCTCTCCATTTTATCATTATATACTATGTGTCCGCTTTAGACTCCAAATATTGTTAAAAATATTAAAAAAATTAATTAATTGCACCAAAATTATTTATTTTTTATTAGTGTTGACATTGAAACACCAAATAACGATGTACACTCTAAAACCATTTCAAAAATTACATTTTCTAAGTGTAAGCTATTGTGGAATAAAATGGGTGCATTAAGCATGGGAAAGAACTCTTTTTATAACGCCTAAAAATTAATAGATAGTCTTATTAAGAATCATTGCATATGACGACTCTTATAATAAATCTGAATTACATAGATTTTTAGATAAAGACAAGTCGTTCAACGCGCGTTCCTTTTTAAGGTAACCGTAACGGGTTCCTTTTTTCAGATGTAACGAGTGTCTGTAAAGCGTTTCTTTTTTGTAGTAACGTTTACAGTACTAGAAGTAATTTAACTATCCACTTAAATATCTTCATAAATATATACACATTTCACTATCAATGTAAAATTTATTTTAGCTTAGAATCAGATGGGTTCAGAAATTTCAGATTAATCTTTTACACCTGAAAATTAACATAAGTCAGATTGTCTAAATTCTGTTATTAACAAAAATCATTTATATTAATTAATTAACTATTATAAATAATTTTAGCGATGATTATATATTTAAATACATTCTTCCTATATTTTATTTATTAAAAATTAGTTTATATATATTTAAGTATTACTTTATATATAATTTAATATTACTTTATATATATATTTAAATATTACCATAGATATATTTAAATATTACCATAGATATATTTAAATATTTTATATTTAATTAAATATTCATAAATATATATTGCATAGATTATAATATAATTTATTAAATTTAAATGTTAAATGTGTCTTGTTTGTATTCACCTTCTTTCTTTTTTTTTGACTCAAAATCAGCTGTGGGAATATTTCGGCCCCGAACCATTTCTGGCGTGATAATGAATGAATGAATTTTCATAATGCATGATTTAAAAAATGTATAATTAGGGCGTTAATAATTTATTCTATTGCTCAGGGTGGCAAATATTGTGAGTAAGTTAATTTATTTATAAATGCCGAAATTTAACGATAAATATGTTTACCAATTTGTATAATCTAAAAGTATTCATTAAATGTGACTTTTTAAACCTTAAATATTATTAGCAATGGGAGGAATATGGCATGGTATTTTCAAAGAGTGATGATGATTCTTGTATATTATATGATTTAATTCTAAGACAAGTATTGATATATATTTAATTGAATACTAATATAATATAGTATATAACATTATTGGATGATCCTAAGATGCTTTCTTTAGCAGAAAATATAAATCAGATTGCCACATACAAGGAGTTTGGTAATATATAGGTCAATATTATTTTAAAAAATTTATGTAGTTATGGGAAATGTGTTAACATTGGGTTTACATTTAGTTTCTGGATTAGTTGATCCAGTCAATGATGATAAATTTTCAACAAAACTACAAATTTTATTGTCTAATGTAGAAAATAATGCAATCAAGGATTTTCATAGTAATTTGATTAACAATGAAGATTTGCATATTAAAGCTATTAAGTTATTGTCTAAAAAACAGGTATTTATTTTTATAATACTTTTGTTTAATAAAAATTTTAAGTTTGTTGAAGCTATAGATATTTGGAAAAAAATTATTGAAAAAAATCCCAAAGATTTATTAGCTGTTAAATTATGTCATGATGTTTGTTTTTATATGTGTAACATGGACAAAATGATTAATATTTATATATTAGTCACTAAATATTTGGATAGAAACCACCCTTTATATAGGTTATTTATATTAATGTTTGTATGAATTATTAACTAATTCTTATTATAGATTTTATTCTATGATTTCTTTTTTGCTATATTTAAATTATATTTAATTTTTCTAATGATATACTTTAATCAGAGACATGCAGAGGTTGAAATGTTAACCTCCTAGTCCTGGCTTTATGAACTATCGTGAAATAAATGAATAATTTATTTTATTTTTGTAATTAATTTTGTCAGTGTATATTTTTACAAATAAACATAAATACATCAATTAATCATAATAAACACAATTAACCAATATATTTGAATAACAATTAATCCATTTTTAAGGTTAATTTGATAATCCATTAATGATAAACTTATTATTATAGTACATTTATTTTGAAATGAAATTTTATCCTTTATGATTTTAGAAAAAAATTATATAATTAAAAACATGTTGAACATGTCTGCTAAGATCAATGCTAATCATTTTAATTTTCAATGCATTACATCTACTCATCTCATATACCTTTTAATAGTAAAACATCTATAATTTAACTATACCATTATAATGCATTTAAATAGGTTATATTCATGAATCTAAAAGTGTATAAAATATTTTTAATAATAAATCACATATTATATAATAACATTGATCTATTTACATTATAAGTAATAAATTAATGTATTATAAAATTTGAAATTATTTTTTTTAAATTAAGATGCCATTTTATCAGATTGGAAAATTTTATAATATTGGCCAATAACCAATATTTTAGAAATGGTGAAATATTGGCCCAATCAGATAAAAAATATTGGTACATCCAAACTGATCATAAAGTTTATTGTTGTTTCATTCTGTAAAATGATACCAAAATGTAATGCTTGATGTATTGTTTTGTGAATTATTTTCCTTAATGCTGGATTAGCAAACAATTGTTGCTATGCAATATCAGCAATGAAGAAAATATAGCAAACAATTTAGTAACAATTCTAATCTTCCTGATATAGTAGGGAAAACAGAAATACATTGTGGTGAATATAATAAGCTTATTGGTAATTAGAAAGTTTTCTGAGGAAAGGGGATATTTTGTCTTCTCTAATTAAAAGATGTAATTCAAATGTGAACGCTTCATCATTTTGTTTGAAAAGTACAAAATTATTTGCCTTATTTCTATGATGATGACCTTTATTCTTTTTTGACTTATATTTATATATCACAATTATGCTGATAATAGATTTTCTGATTTTATTATTTTAATGATAAAAATGTTTGTAGAATAGAAATTTTACACTGGGTATTACGATCTTCAGCTAGAGCAAATGTTCTAATTAAATAATATAAACTCATCTCTTCCTCTTATTTGAAAAACCCTACAAATATAAAACATTAAACAACAAAATTTTAATTTAGATAGTCTACTGACCTATAAAGTTAGAGATTTGAGTCTGGCATGTAGTTTTTCCATAAATACTAATGCTGTAATTCATTTCAAGTAATAATTTGTTTGTTTTAAAGATTATTACCTTTAAAATCATAAAATCATGTTTATAAATTTTCATAATCAAAATAATATTAAATTTTTAATGGATTTTGATATGGGTAATGTAATATAGTAGTTAGGGTACAATATATAGTAGTTTAAAACACTAAAACCTGATAAAATATTGGGTTGATGTTTTTGGGGCTTCTTAATTAATAGGGCCATTAGTTATAAAAATCTAGAAAATTTTATATACAGGATATGAACCTCGATTAAAGGGTTAAAGCTTTAGCTGGATTTTTTGAAAAAATATTTTTGGCCGACTCTGCATTTTTTTTGATAATTTTTTGCTACATAGAAAAATTAAAATATGAGCAGTAATTGAATGTTAATTTCATATTATTTTTCATTAATTCTAGTCTTAATTTTTTGCTGGGTCTACAGGTCTCTGATATAAGTAAATTATTATACCTGAAATATTTTACCTTCTTATATAATGTTAAACAAAATATTTTACATTGTTGTTTAATAATAAGCAAAATATTTTATTTTTACATATTGATTTTAATTATTGCTCATTCATTATTTTACAATTAGCTATATACTAGCCATGTTTGCTTTCGCAAAAATTGAATTATTTTGCTATCATGAAGCCGAATCTTTAGCAAGAGAGGTAAACTTTATGTTTGTTTAAATTAAAAAATTTACATCTAAATAAATCAGAGTCTCATTCTAAACCCTTTGAATGCATGGGGCACTCATTCATTGATTCATGTATACACCATGCAGGCAAATATAGATGATGGTATAAATTTCCTAGTTAACACACACTCTGATTGGAAACAAACCCAATTTTTGGCTTGCCATTTATATTGGCACATGGGCTTATTATATCTTGAAAAGGTTTACAATACTCTCAATTTAACATTTTAAATAAAACAGATTTTATATAAAAAAAACTAGCACAATTTCAAATCTTTTTAATATTAATAATATCTAATTGCTCTCAGAGGGCGAAAATTTAAGGACAGCCTGATCCCTAATTTAAAATTCTTTTCCATTATGGAGCTTAACCCTGATTTAAAAAAAAATTGGTTTGGCTAAGTTTTTTAATTGATGTAACTTAAATTTATTTTATAAGCCTCCGTTTTGTGAAAATATTGTTATTTCTCTGGGTTAGAGATATTTTAAAAAAAATTTTTGGTAAGGCCTTGATTTAAAAAAAAATTATTTCTTATTATGGCCCTTTTTAGACCGGTCTACAGGTCTTTATAATGGCTAGTTTATGTTAGCTTAACTTAAATGTCCTTTTTAATTGGACTTTGGGGTCTAGGCTGCTGACACATTTATAATCTCTTTATCAGAAGTCAAATTGAGTATTTTTGATCTTGCTAAAAATCTTGATACTGTAAATCCCCATATAATAAATTATTTTATTTTAGAATGACGTAGATACGGCATTCGAAATTTTCCAACGCCAATTAAAAGTAAGAGTCAAAGAATCTCTCGCCCTTTTCCACCTAACGGATGCTGTATCCTTGTTATACAGAATAAACCATACAGCCAATATCAATACTCGTATAAAATCTTGCCTTCCTTTTGAGTGGTCATTTTTAGCGAAAGAGATAGCCTCGATCATTGCTGGATTAATACTCAATGCTAAAAAGAGTTTTTTATGTCCCACAAATCTTGATAAAATACTGTTTATTCATGACAATTATAATTTTGCTAAATCTAAATTCTGACTTTATTTCATATTTTATATTTTGCTTACATTCCAAATTTATTTTAATAATAATAAAAATCAATAGAATATTTCTTATATGTGATGTTGATATGACT